GGTCCTGACTTGCCACAGTTTGGGGAATGTGCTTTGGGCTGCTCTCCACAGCGATTCTGTAAGATGCTGGCCCTCTTCTAAGAGTTCCCTTTCACAGCTGCATGGGCTTTTTTCAAATTGTTAGAGAATACTGCTAGATTTGTCTAACGTCTTCACACAGCACTCTTCAGGACTCTGTTGCTCTAAATTAATATCATTTCCGAAAGGGAAATCCTTGTGACTTGAGAAAATGCAAAGTACAGGCAGAACAAAGTGACTTGGTTAATATAAGCTCTCCTCCAAAAAAGACAGGGCAAATCTGCTCTTTGATTATTTAGACAAATTTGATATGGTTCAGTTTTCATTCATTTGCAGTTCTTCAGTAGGGACATTTTTAGCAAAGATTAGTGGGATGAGAGTTTCTGGGGTCATCCCTGAATAAGACATTTGCTGGTTGAATAGATGTTACAGCTGAGTTCTTTATCAGAAAGATGGCACTAGGCAGCTGAATATTTTATTGCCTTTTCTCAGTCTAGTTAACAAGGGAGAATAATCCATTGAGAAGTGCATAAATACATATTCACTTTATACTGGAGAAATTCAAAAAGTATTTCTGGAAATGCAATGGGCATTTTATGGATTGGGAACTCTTTTAATTTTCAAATTTAAAATTTATATCATAACCATAAAATTTTTAATGATCTTAGGGAAAAAAACCCCACTTGTTTCTTAAAACTTACGTCTGAAACAGATTAGCTTCATGAAATTCCTCTTTATGGAGAGAAAATATTATAAAATCTAGGGCTTACAGTTGAATCAAGACCGTTTATATCTTAAATCATGTTTATTTATGCCTGGCAAATACATCCTGGCTTAGACATCTCTTTTAGATCTCCAATTTGTAAGTAGTAAGTGTACAGAGTGTGCATGGGATTGCATCCAGTATTTATGTTACTTACGGTGCGTTGCTTCAATTGATTCTTCCAGGATAAAGGGAGAAGTACCTGAGGCCCCTGCTGGATGTATAACTGATCTGGCAGCAGGAACCTCTTAAGACAACCACTAAGATACATCTGATTAACTCTTACCGTATTGCTCAGCACAATTTGCTATTTTCCAATATATTCATTCACTAGAATTTATTTCGTTACATATAACATGATGATATTCCTATTTATTACAACCTCCTGGAGATATTTTAAACAAAAACTTTATTTATATAACAAGAACACTGTTTCATCTTTATGAGGGTTTCTTTTCCTTTTTGTGGTCCTCCAAATACAAGGTATACCTTGCAAATCAAAAATACTCTTGGTAAAACAAAGCCATTTACTTTAAACAGAAGCTCAAGAAAAATATCAATTAACTGCAATGGGATTCTCTCCCTATTTTCATATAAATTGATATATATATATATATATATAATAAGTATGTATTTTTCTTTCTTCCTCTGTCTTACAGTAGTAAAAATAAGGTAAAATTCAATTCAGATATAAAAAGGAACACTTGTTAATGTAAAACCCTATTTGCTAATCTTAAATTGAATTTGCTTGTTTGTCTTAAATTGGCATGTATTAACCTTAAAATGGAGGATAATTATATATTCCCAATTCATGAAAATCATGGATTTACATCATTAGAAAACTGGAGGGTGGAGGGAAGGAACTGTCTGATATAGGACAGCTGATGTGCCAATCTTAATATTTCTGTATTTCAAGACCCTACGAGATTTTCTGGTTCAAGAGTTCCTACCTAGTGGCAGGCTTATGTTTGGGGGTGGGGGTGGGCATCGTTTCTATTACTTCTGTAACACAAGAGTTTTAGTTCCCAGTGTTCCAAACTTTGGGGGCCAACATTCCCTTAATTGTGAGCAAGAAGAAATAGAAATTCTATTTCACAAAGTTTTTCATTCCCATTATGCCTCTCATATCTTTATTAGATATTAGACAATATAGACCATCTGTAAGCTACATATAATTTCTATTTCGAAAGGTGAGGAAACTGGGACTCAGAAAAGCTAAGCAAATGTTCATGGTCACGGTTATTAAACAAAGCTGGGATTTAAATGTAGGTCTCTCTGATTATAAGACCCATGCTGTTTCTCTTGTGGGATGCTGCCAGTGACCTCAGAGGCTTTTGCTTTCTTCCATTATTCCCAGGGCTTTAAATATTTAATCATTCTTTGACATCTCTCTGAACATGCTCCAAATTTTCTAAGTCCTGGCTGAGAGTGAGGCCTTGATCTGTCTGGAGCCCTCCACTAAAGGGCAAATCCATCTCTGCAGGAAGTCCCTACCTTTTCAGGGAAATGTGGCTAAAGTGAATATCAAGATCAGGCTTAAAGTTGGTGGCACAAGGAGTTGGGAGTTGATGGGTACGAGGTGATTTGCAGGTGGACTTATTTGGCCAGAGGGGAGGGTGGAGGTATTGCCAGAGTCTTTATGTGGTAGAAACTTCCCTTAACCTCCCTGTGGCTCAGGGTGCAGGGACTGAGGTGTTGGGGTAAAACTGAAGAAGCAGGAAGGTCTCCGTGAGACTGTGAGTGGGGTGGATAAAGGGACTTGCGGTGACTAAGGGTAACATGGGTTAGGGGTGGGATGATCTCGCCATCTCTGTGGGGACCACAGCACGCCCTGGTACACCACAGCTGGTACCAGCATTGGATGCATCAGGGCCTGTTTCCAGGAGCACCAAAGGCATGATCAGCACTGGTGGTAGAGTGGCATTTTGGGGAGGGGTATAAGACCATAAAGAAAGAATGCCCCAGAGTCTACAAACCATTAGAAGGGCACACTTAAGGCGGCTCCTCAGACTCCCAGAAATATCCAGAGCAGACTTTTTTTTTTAAAGATTTTATTTATTTATTTGACAGACAGAGACAGCGAGAGCAGGAACACAAGCAGGAGGAGCGGGAGAGGAGAAGCAGGCTTCCCGCCAAGCAGGGAGCCCGATGGGGGGCTCGATCCCAGGACCCTGGGATCATGACCCGAGCCGAAGGCAGACGCTTAACGACTGAGCCACCCAGGCGCCCTCCAGAGCAGACTTGAAAGGGACTCCGTTGGAGTGTGTGTATGAGTAGGGGGTCAGATCTGTGTTATTACTTTTAACTCTTAACCTGACCACATCTGCAGCTAAGGTAACACTGAATCAGTGGAGCATTGGGGTCATAAGTAATGGAGATTGTTAACCCTTTCAAAGCAAAACTTTAGTGTTGCAAAAATTACCGACTGGAGAATTGGGAAGTTTATTAAGAATTCAAGTAAGCCAGAGGATTATGGGTCTTTGCGTTGCAGAAGAAGGACCCACCATCTTCTGGCTACAGGTTGGCATTGGTGATATAACGAAGTCACAGGTCATGGGATTTCTAGCACTCTGCTCTAAAAGCATTACTTAGCTCCTGCTTCCCCTTGTGTCTTCCACACTCCCTTCAGAGGACAAAGAGTTTCCACTGTTAATTTAGTATTTTTAAGACACTCTGACCAATAATTTTGTCTGCTTTTTGCCCTATGGCTTACATAACCTGAAGTTATTACAGTGTCAGAACACATTAATGAAGAAAGCACCTCTAAGTCTGTGGTTCTTGCTTTCAATACTTTTTCTTTTCTTTTTCCCTCATTGATTCAAAATTCCTCCCCTGCAGTTCTGTGTAGGAAAGTTATTTTTTAATCCCTATTCTGGACCTTAAATATTTAATAGAGTGTAGCTTCAATCATCTATTGGGAATTCTGTTGATTGTTTGAGAAGTTTATCGAGCCTGTGTCCTGTTGACTCACCATCAAGACACCTACTACCTCTGTAAAGAATACAGTATAATTATAGATTCAATAGAAAACCTCAAGTAAGGAGGAAGAGAAAAAGTTGAAATGGAACAGAGTATATGTGTGTGGGGAAACCCATGTGATATGTCTCCCTTCTCAGTTTCAGACAGTGCCTGGAATTCCCAGTCACATTTGAACACACATCCCTGTAAACAGGACTAAAAAGAGAGAAGTATACTTAGATTACCCAAGATCAGGCCTTAACGAATATGGAGGAGAAACCCGTGGCTAGCTAGACAATGGTAAATTATTGTAGGATAAAAGTGAAATGTTGTTTATTTTTGTTACACTTCATGTTGAAAAAAAATTAGGTCTCTTTCTCTCTCTTTTTTTTAAGGCAAGATACGTAACCCACTGTTTCTCAAAGTGTGTTCTGGGAAATATCAATTCTGCCAGATGCTAACTAGAAACCAGTTTTTCAGTCTCATGGCCAAATATGTTTGGGAAATATTATTACATAAGGCTAGTCACATTTCTGCACCCCTGGACTTCTTAAGACCTTAATAAACAGGCTCTGTGACTCCCCAGTGGGGGAGATAGCTCACATACACTCTCCTTTCTCCATGAGGTCATTTTTAGGGCCAGTGAAACTACTTTGAGTTAGCCTACTGGAGAGCCACTTATCAGATGCGACTTATCCAGGCAGATTATAGGATCAAGACAGCTAACAAAAGAACTATGCTTTCCCACTGAAACCATTGGCATACAAACACCGACAGGATTCTTCATGGCTAAGTCTAGAAGTAATTTATACCTAAATTAAAAAGTTTCTAAGAAGTTATCTAGAACAAACGCTTCTTAAATATGAGGTACTGGTTTTGTGTTCATAACCACTCCCTAGAAAAATCAACCTTTTTTTTTTTTTAAAGATTCAGACCTTAATTTTCTTTTCTTTTTTTTTTTTTTGATAGAGAGAGCATGTATAAGCAGGGTGGGGGGACAGAGGGAGAGAGAGAGTCCCAAGCAGCCTCCATGCTCAGCATGGAACTCAACACAGGGCTCCACCTCCCAACCCTGAGATCATGACCCAGGGTGAATCAAGAGTCAGACGCTCGACGGACTGTGCCACCCTGGTGCCCCATAGAAAATCAAGCTTTGAAACTAAAACTCTAAAACTGACTTGAAGAACTTACTGTCCCCTCCTTGGGAGGAAATTTTCGAGAACACAGATGATGGCTGAGGATGTTTCCAGACCATGAAGGCAGAAAACAGGAATTAGCATGTGTAGTGTAAGAGCCTGATGTTAAGCTTTTGATTGCTGTGGCAACCATTTCAAAGACTTCCATCTTGAATGAACTATTGGCAGCTGCGTGGCATGGCCACTGGCAAAACAACCAGATAAGGAACAGACCACCTCAGGCGTTCAGTTCCCCTTTTACAAAACCCTCATTAACCTACATAACTGACCACCTGAGTGATTCTGCGTATTCCTTTTCATGCCCTAATTCCAGTTTTTATGTTTCTAATTTCCCCAAACAGAGTGAACCTGCAAAACCCTCCAACCCCAGGAGAGGCAGAGACCCCAGTCAGCACTCCCTCCATCTCTCTCTGTGACTGCACTGTGTGGTCCACAGGTGTGTTGTGTACTTCCAGGACCTAGGAGTAATAAATCTTGTTCTTCAAAGTTCCCTGATGGTTTTTTCCTTAGGTGCATTTTGCAGTCATGATAACCTCAGGGACCCGTCTAGCCACACTGGCTTCAGTTGGGGAAATGTCTGTGGGAGCTCGCCTGCAACACTATGGTCCAGGTGAGTACCCCAGGCACTTCTAGCTGATAGTATTACCAATAGGCTGAGATCGACAAAACAGCATGGTGATAAATAATATGGTTTAGGAACTCTCTCTCTCTCCATAAGAGTCAGTCCTCTTTGAAAGCTAACATTTTCAGCCCCCCATTCTGGGGCATATTGTTTGGGGCTGACATATGGATTTCCAAGTTCCTCTTGGTGCTTGGCTAAAAAGACTTTTTCCCTGGTGCTGTATGCCATGCTGGGCTCAAGACTCAACTGCTGGGGAATTTGCAAACATAGCTTTATATGCCAAAGGAATAGAACTTGATGGTGTCCAAAGACAAATGAAGTGGAAATTTATTTTAAAAATTCATTATTTAAAATATTCTAGGGGCGCCTGGGTGGCTCAGTCGGTTAAGCAACTGCCTTCGTCTCAGGTCATGATCCCGGGGTCCTGGGATCGAGCCCCACATTGGGCTCCCTGATCCATGGGGAGTCTACTTTCTCCCTCTTCCTCTCCTTCTGCCCCTCTCCCTGCCCCCCACCCCACCACTTGTGCTCTCTCTCTCTCCTTTTCTTTTGTAAATAAATAAATAAAAATCTTTAAAAAAATAAAATATTCTAACTCAAAAGCAATGATAATTAAGAAGCATTCAGAAAAATCAGGCAAATGTGCCCTCTAAAACAATGCAGGAAGGAGAATTCCACAGGCATCTTCTTCTCCCAGTTCTCCCGATGGGACCTTGGGAGGCATAAACACGGCTTAGCTTGGAGAAAGGGTGACAATCCCAGCTAGGAGCACCAAAAGAGGCTGTGGAAGCTTCTTTCTGGGCCCTTCAGCAGGAAGCTGCAGAGAAAGACCATGTTCCCCATCATTTTAAAGGCCCTAAGTGCACTACCAGAAATTCACTGGAGGAAAAGCCAGAAGAGTCACCTACATTTTCAACCTTTCTAATTTCTCACTATAGTTTTCTGTTTTTTCCCTTCCCAGGTCAAAAAATATAATCTAAAAACAAGATGGATTGTAGCAAAGGACGATCACAATTAACTAAAATCATGACCATTTCCAGTACTCATAATGTCATTCTTGAAGGCACTGAGGCTTCGTCTTACATTTTGCCAGAGGTTTGTGCTATAGAAAATTGTTGGTCATATAAAATTTTAATTTTAATTTTGAATCAGAAGGAAGAATTTACAATGGTAGAATCATCACTTTAAAAAAAGTAATGCTGGCTAAAGGGGGAACAAGGGAAGAAAAAGATAGTCACATTTTTAGTACTAAAAACAACTGTGATAAATGTTATGGCTGAAGATTATAATTCTGTCTAATATCTTTAAAGGAAATTACGAGAACACTTGAATACTTTTGCTTATCAGTTGCCATTGGTTTTCTAAATGTAAAGACTTGAAAGGCTGCTGATATCTAAGAATGAACAATGCAAGTATATTTGAATTTCCACACATTTCACACTTCACCAAGTGAGTATATTTCGTGTGATGACAACTCAGGTCAAGGAATAAGGAATACTCAAATTGATGGACCATTTGATTTTAAGTGTAAGCATAACTTAAGCGAGTATGGACACATTTCATAATTGTTTTTATATCACCAAGAAGTCCTGAACTCAGGCTTTGGTAAGTAAGTGAGCAAGAGACAGAGAAAGGCAAGGTTTAGGGTCCATTCTTCAAGGACCTTATGGCCTAGCTGAAGGAAGAAACACGAGTCCGTGGAAATTACTTTTACCTTGTGTTGTTTGGTTTTGGTTTGGTCTGGTTTGGTGGCCTTTCAGGGCCTATTAACAAAAAGAGTAAATGTAAAAGGCAAGATGAATAATAATAAAGATCAGTTTACTGATGGAGTTCAGAGGCAAGAGGAAGAAGACCTCATAGCAGTGGTAGGATTAGAATCTGACATTAAAGGATGGATAAGACTGTGGTGATTGGAGGGGACCTAGCTGACCCACTGCACATGAGGGAGAAGGAGAAGGGCATGAAGAAGATTGCAGCAACATTGTGGCTCTAATTCGGGGCTGGTGAATAATATCATTTATTTAGAGCCAAGAATTTCTGTAGGTGAGGGAATAGAGAGCCATATTTCTGAAATAGACAAATGAGGCTGGTTATGGAGAGTCTAAGTGCCAGACCAAATTTGAACTTTATAATGTAAGACTTCACAGGTTGGGGGAATGATGACATCAGTTGTTTTTAGGAAGAGTGAGTGCTATGTGGAGAGGGAGGGACGCCCAGAGGCAAGAAAGACAGCTGCTAGTCTCCCGGTGTTAGCTGACAAGCCTCTGGACTGGTGAGCCAGGGAGTGGGAGTGGGAGAATGGGAAAGATACAGAGACCAGAACATAGCTGGAAGTGGGAGAGACAGAAACCAATGATGACTCCTTCTGAGAGGCCCGTGGGCTGGCTTGTTTTTTTGTTTGTGTGTTGGGTTGGTTTTGTTGCCTTTCGGGACCTTTTAGAAGTTAGTTTCAGTGCATTTTCGCCATGAGTTGACACATTCACTGGATCTTAGGGTTAGAAGGATAAGATCAAGTAACTTTTGAACAGGTCTTCTGTTTTTAGTGATGTTTGTTCACCCCTATTTTACGGACATGGTTCTTAGGAACCAGGGACACTATGAAGAAGTCACATTTGTAGCAAAACACCAGAAGCCACTTCTCTGGGCTTTGAAAATGCACCCTGCCACGTTGCCTTTCCCCAGCAGAGGAGTTATCTGAGCAAAGATCTTAGGTTGATTTTTTTTAAACGTTGGGAACATCAGTATCTAATCTTTTATTACAATAGCTTAAAACAAAATTAAGATCACAGCATGTTCAGCTACATAGTTCTGTTCCAGTGCAATGCTTTTGCAAACCAAAAGAATTGGAGGACAGTTTTCCATCTCCAATACATCAAATGAATCTATCATCTATCTATCTATCTATCTATCTATCTATCTATCTATCTATCTATCTATCATCTATCTATCATCTATCTATCTATATCTATATCTATATATATAGTTAGCAATTTCATGAAAACTTAGCTTAAGCGTATCTATCTACCTGTCTCCGTAAAAAAAAAAAAAAAAAAAGGATGTCCTAATCATTTCTAAATGAATCCTTTCTTAAAAGGATAAAATAAATAGCTCAATCTCCTGTAAGAAAGGAATGTGTGAAGTAAGCTCTGAATTTCTCCAAGGGCTCTTCACAGTGCTGCTATATTATTACAACTTCAATATCCTGTGTTAGCAACACTTATTTAACTTGTTACATTTTAGTTTTATGGGAGAGCCATGAATGTAAAAGGCACATAAAAACCACAGCCAAATGGCTGACATCTGACCTTTAATCCTCTCTCAGACTCTCCTTTAGAAACACACCACTTCTTCTACACACACACAGTGAGTATATCACCTGCTCCTTAATTTACTAAACATCGTGGTATTGCTTAAGAAAAGAAATTGCATACTTTCTTGACCCTGGTTTCCTTCCTCACCCCCCCTTTTTTTGTTTTTAGCACTTATATTATTTTTTGATGTTTGGTCCTGTAAATTGCCATTATTTTTGTAATTAAAAATTAAGGTTGGAGCCTCAGGAAAAGGTGTCAGAAGGTGACTTATTAAACTGTAAGAAGACCAAGAAGGAACTAAGAAGTTTGTTTTGGAACTTGAAACATCATTATCACAAATAATATGGTTCTTAATTCTTACTAACATATAAATAATTATCTGACCTGAACTTAACATATATATATATTAAATATGTATATTTATTAAAAAAATATGTATGGCAGAAAATAAAATATAGGCGGGATTAGCAGAAAGGGACTTCAGTAGAAGCCTATCTACCCATCATTTGGCAGAAATAATGGCTGAGGATTTTGGAGGATGTCAGTTGGCCACTTAGGGTCGGAATTGGGACCAGAACAGTTCTGCACTCCAACACCACTCCCTTACAACTGTACCCCCAATCACGATACCTCTGTCAGAAAGAGAATACTGTGCCTTAAACATACAGAGTGAAGAAGAAAGGTCACACTGTTCATGGCAAACCAGAAACTAGATCCCATCTTTGAGGCAAAATCTCTTGATTGCTGCCCCTGTTTCACAAACATGCAATAATGTATGGCCCCCAACAGTCCTCCTCTGACTTGTTTTGTCTTCAGGGGATGAGAACGGGCATAAAATCTGGAAATCTGACCCAACTGAGTCAATAAAAAGGCTTTTTGTCTGTGAACCTGACCACAAGCAATTCAATGTCACACTGATTGAAATAGCTGATTGGAAAGATTTTTGTCAGGAATACCATCCCCCTTTTATAGAAATAAACAGTTTGAAACAAAATTGAAGTAGCAAGACGGAATCAACTGCCACTTCAAGATAGTGCTGTCTACTACATGTAAAGGTGTTTATTTCCTCACGACGAAACATGTGTTATCTCTTCCATAATATCCCCTTAAATCCACTGTTTGTTTTAATCAAAAATACAGTAGGAAAAATTTTTTACAGAATGTCTCAGCACATTGTAACTTAATAGTTCGATTAGTTAAAAAAATTTTTAAAAAACACCTTAATTTTGTGTTTCTAGCAGATGAATATTTATACTCTTAATTTCAGGCAGTGTTGCATTTTTATTTACTATATTAAAGTTCAAAAGAAATGAGTAATTCGACTTGGAGTTTTATCATTTATTCTTTAATGCTAACTAAAGAGAGGCACTAACATTTTTTAAGAAGTGCTTACTATGTGTGTATTGCATTTCATTTCCATACTATCCTTCCCTAAGAATCATTCATAATGTTTGACCTTTTAATAACTGACTTCAATTCAAATAAGAAAAAGTAGTGGCATTAAACTATATTCAACATTTATTAATATAGCATTTAAACTCAAGGAAAATGCCAGACTCTAAAATTCTGACAATGGAAATTTATCCTAATCAGCCTTTGTCTCTGCCCTTGTGAAAAATCGCAAGAAACTGGTACATCTTCTGTGTTAAATAATCTGAAATATAGTAAGTAGCACCCAGCTGTGAAGTCAAGTCTTTTCACCATATTTACTTTTAATTAAAAAAAAAAATAGTATGGATCCTCTGCCTCTCCAACTTAAGTATGAGAGGATCAACCATGGAAAATATGTATCATTACTACGGACTTGGACAATCTCATGAAGAGGGAAATAAAATATAAATTGTTTGGTGGTGGTAGTGGTGTGGTTATTTATCGTTGGCTTAAAGTTCCTCCTGTAGGATCCCCATAAATGTCCCAGTATTAATCTTCAACTCCCTCTGTAATTGCTTATATATATATTTTTAAGATTCTACTTCACTTGGTAAAAACAAGACCTAAGGCCCTCAACCTTCTAAAAGCAGCATGGGAAAGTGATTCCGATGAAGGTCTTGATTAACACACTCTCTTTGCAGTTCTCTAACAAGTCAAGCATTTCCTGGAAACCCGCCCACAGATTGTGGGACTATTTTTAGTTGCTCACCTCCCTGTAAACGCAGCTATTAGATATCCAGATATCCCTGCTCCTTTCAGGTGCAGTAAAATAGAACATAAAAGGGTGTAATTGGATGATTACAGCTGAAGACTGTGAGCAGGAGCCATAGGGTCTCTCTTTTCCTAAGAGCTCTGGGATACGCCCCAGAAAGGCTTTTTCTCTCTCTGCAGCTGGTGAAACCTATGCACGGAGCAGGGGCCCCTGACCCCCAGATGCAGCGTCATCTCAGAAAACGCACTGTTAGGGTTGTTTCTGTATACACCCCGGGGAGAAAGGCAGGGAAAAAGAAGTCACATCTTTGGGCAGCTCCCATGCGCCAGGTCCTGTGTATCCATGTAGTTGTCACCACAACCTGGAGAGAGAGGTGGATGTCGTTATTCCGGTTTTACAGTGAGCAAAACTCAACCATCAGCCAAGTTCGCTGACTGCTCAAGGGCACGTGGCTAATGAGCTGCAAAGCCAGGTTTAAACCCATTCCATGTTTTGCCCCTTACACTCCTGCCCTTTTGAGGGGAAACTGGAAAGCAGGCTCTGTCACTGGGGTGGCCGAATAGTTGATTGTCCAAACCAGAACGTTTCTGAGAGAGAAATAGAGGGGTAATAATAAAAACACCCGGCCGACACGGGTGGCCTGTCAGGTCTTGGGCAAACCAGGATTTATGTAGTCAGCTTGTGTGAACTCTTCCTTGCTCACACCAGCAGAGCCAAGAGTGGAGAGAGTTCCCTGAAGAAAGCTCCCTGCCCACAGCTCAGCACCAGAATCCTGCCATAGGTCCCTCAGGCAGGAAGAGAGAGAGTTTAAAAAAAAATTCTTTTGAAGACTAGGTTTAAGTGTAAATTTTGTTGTTGTTGTTGCCCCAAGAGCACCAATTGTGCTGAAGTTGTCTTCAATTCCTAATTCCTTAGGAGCAGTGGAACAATATCTTGGGACTGCCACACACTTGCATTATGGGTATATTAAGATGACACAAAAATATCTAACATTTATTGACTTTTTCCTGTGCACCAGGCACGTGCGGAGTGCTTTACGTGCTTTATCTTATTTAATTTTCTCAAAACTTCTGTGAGGTATATACGTTTATTATCTCCATCTTCCAGGTGAGGAAACAAGGACACCCAGTAATGGCCTGGCTGTAATTCAGGCCAAGGCCTTCCGCTTCCAGCGTCTACACTGTTCGATACGACGCTGTGCCTGCGCCGTGCATGCTGTGTTGGTCTTGGAAATGGTAGAGTTACAAAGCAGTGCATTAGGTTTCCTGGCCTCAAAGCTTTCAGATTACTGAGGAGAGACTCCTTGACATTGCAGTATCTTAACTAACAACTCAGTGTTCGTCAGAAGGCGGCATGTATGTATTTTTGCAAATACCATCAAATGAGTGACACAGATCCCTTTAGCATATCGTGTGATGTGCGGCAAGGTGGCATATACTGGTGGGATATACTGAAATTTGTCTTCTTAAGTATGGATCTCATTCTCTCTGATAGCAAGGAAAGCCTAGCAAGGACTGTCCTGCAGGTCCTCAAAGCCTCTGAACCCTCCCTGCACAGTACCTGGCCCATTGTAGACACAAATGACTCTATTCTGCATCATGATTGAAGTTGTCAATCAAACTGTAGAGCATTCAGAGCAGGGGAAATCTCTGGGGCTTGTAATAAAGACATGGAAGTCTTTACAGAGAATATGGGGTTTGAACTGGGCCTTGAAGGAAGAGAAATAAGTCTTTGAAAAAGTAAATGAGGGAGATGAAAGGTATTCAAGGTGGAAGAAACAAATTAAGTAAGTGAACTCAGATGGGAACTTGAGGGGAAAGCAAAGAGACCAGGATGTCTGGATGGAAACATAGCAAAGCAAGTCTGATCTAGAAGGGTAAGATTATGGAGCCCTTAACTGTGGGAGGTGCTGTTCAAGACCCCCTGTGGATGCCTGAAACTGTGGATAGTACTGACCTGCAGATATACTATGGTTTTTTCCCTATGCATTCACACCTACGATGAAGTTTAATTTTATTGGTAAGAGATTTAAGAAATACTACTAATAAAATAATTATAACATTGTCTTGGAATAAAAGTCACGTGAATGTGGTTTCTCTCTCCCGATCTCTTATTGTACGGTCCCCTTCTTCTTATGAGCTGATAAAAATGCCTACATGGTGAGATGAAGTGAAGTCGGTGATGTCGATATTGTAATGATGTAGCGTTAGGCTGCTATTGGCCTTCTGGTAATAGAAGGAAAATCATCTGCTTCTGGGCCACGGTTGCCCACAGCAACTGAAACCACAGAAAGTGAAGCTGAAGATAAGGGGAGAATAATATATAAGGAATAGTGTTCAAAAGTACTCGTGCAGAGCTGATTATCACTGTTTCCGTCTCCCTTGATAACTGTGAACTAGTTTGGACAGTAGACACTGGAGCAGAGAGCAGTGATGAAAAATGGATTTTCAGTGGCTGTTAATCTCATTAAGCAGTTTCTTCTGCCTTTCCTCAAACTCTAAACATTTTAATCTGTTTATTTTAGGAGAGGGTTTTTAAAATTCAATTTGAAAAGTTTAAGGTTAGAAAGCTTTATGAATTTATGAAGGGCAAAGACTGTATCTAGTCTTTGAATCCTTACAGCCTGTTGCATAGGAATAGTTAACCAAGCATGACATGATCTCCCTGTCAACACTGCGGGGAAAGCACTGTGGACCCCGGTTACTATCCAACATTAGCGGTTCACTAAGGTGGCAGGAAGATGTGGCGTGAAGGTAAGAGTCTAAGTGCTTGAAATCAGTCTGATTGTGATACTCGCAGGACTTTCGAGCTTCTTGAGAAGGGACAGCTACTTTGTGATGACTTCCTGGGGTTACGTGACTTTTAAACCAAAACTTTGTTTAACATTTTGTACATAGGTTTTTTAAATACCAGTTCGTGCGTTATAATTAACGTTTCGCTGTACAGAAGGCACCCTTCCTTATATTTAAGCCATGAGATATAACCATGGTTCCAAAAGCAAATGAAAATAATCTGTAAGTGGAAAAGAACTCTCACAAAACCCATGCATGCTTTTGTTTTGTTTTAGGATCCTAAGCCTGGTGCTGTGTATAAAATAGGGCGCAGTGAAATGCCTACACTTTGAAAGGATACATTTAGAGATGATAGCACAGTAAGAAATGGAGATACTGTGCCAGTCCAACAGGTGGAAGAAGCCAGGGGAGAAACATGCTGGGAACCGCTGTGGCGACCACCGGGCTGCCTCTAGGACCTGAAAGTGGCTCCTGGCCAGTAACTAACAGGAACATGAGGACCTCAGTCCTACAACCATAAGGAAACGGCTTTTGCCAACAACCAGCAAGGACTCCAAGTTCCAGATGAGAACTGCAGACAGGGCTGGCACCTTGTTTCAGCCTGGTGAGACTCTGAGCGGAGAATGTAGTCACTCCATGCCAAGACGTTGACCTACAGAAACTGAGATAAACTTGAGATTTTAGAAGCCACTAAGCTTCTGATACTTTGTAATGCAGCCATCAAAAACGAAAACAGGCCATGTTGTACCTTTGCTTTGTCTTGGAGAAATGAGCTAACTCATACAAGGGTTTTTCTCAGATACATAAAATGTATTCCTTGAAGTGCAAACACTTGATGGATATATATTATCCATTTATCTGCCTTATTAAATAGTACTTAGTACACTGCCTAATATTTAAAGAGTCTAATAAATATTTGTTGAATGAAGTATACTTGCTTTTTCTTCATTACTCGGATTACTTAACTTTATAAGCATCCATTATTTTTTTTTAAGCTTTTATTTATTTATTTATTTGACAGAGAGAGACAGCAAGAGAGGGAACACAAGCAGGCGGAGTGGGAGAGGGAGACAGATTTTATTTATTTATTTGACAGAGAGAGAAAGGAAGAGAGAGAGAGAGAAAGCATGAGCAAGGGGAGGGGCAGAGGGAGAAGCAGGCTCCCCACTGAGCAAGGAGCCCAATGCGGGACTCGATCCCAGCACCCTGGGATCGTGACCTGAGCCGAAGGCAGACGCTTAACGACTGAGCCACCCAGATGCCCCATAAGCATCAATTATTGACTGGGCTCTGTGATAGATTGTGTGACCAGTTCTCCGTGCCTGCTTCCCTTCACTGGGAGAGGGCTATACTTCCCTGCTCCTTGGAAATGAGGCTTGTGATTTACAAAAGGAAATAGTAAGCAGAAGCAATGTGGTCACTTCCATGCAGAAGCTTTAAGAATCCTTTTGTGTTTTACTGCCCCCTCTCTCCCCTCTGCCATGGTCCCTAGCAGGTTTCAGGTCCCTAGCAGAGCCAGCTCCTACATGCGATATGACTAATCAGTAAATCTTTCCCGTTCTAGGACACTGAGGTAATAGGGTATTTTGGTACTGTGACATAAACTAGTCCATGTTAACCCACATAATACTGATTCCTTCAATGGTAACCAAGAAGTGAATATCCATCGGCCAGGCCCACTGAAGCATGTGTCTCTGACTTCCTCTTCTACCAGATGGAAAAAAGGCTCTGCTTTTAAAGTGTTCATGTGATTAGGTCAGGCCCACCCAGATAATCTCCATTTTAAGGAGAGCTGATTTGGGATCTTAATTACATCTGCAAAAATCCTTTGCAACAGTAACTAGATTAGTAATTGATTGAATTTGGGGAGGGGGGATGTGTAAACACCACAGTCTGGGAACCTAGGAGGCCCCACTGAGAATGGTGGGTGTTGGTATGGCTTGCCTATGGCAGGACTGATGAGACGGGGCCTGTTCTGGTGTCATTTGGTTCTCCCGAGAGTAAGAACTGGAATTATTTGGAGAGGTAGCTAATTTAGGGCATTCAGTGACTAGTAAAACCCTAGTTCTATGCTTCTTCTTCTTCTTCTTCTTTTTTAAGATTTTATTTATTTATTTGTGAGAGACAGAGAGAGAGAGGGAGAGCACAAGCAGGGGGAGAGGCAAGCAGCGGGAGAAGCAGGGGTCCCACTGAGCAAGGAGCCAGATTCAGGACTTGATCCCAGGACCCTGGGATCATGACCTGAGCCGGAGGCAGACACTTAACGACTGAGCCACCCAGGCATCCCTGGTTCTATGCTTCCGAACTGATTTTCCTAAGAACATAATCCCTTAAATGCTAAGAAAGTTACTACAATAGTCAGTTCTGGTAAGAAAGAGACAATGTTCTCAAATTATGTAATTGGGGAGAGTTAAGGGCTTTCTTTTTTTAACAAAGTTGTGGACAGAGTTTAGGAAACCATCACAGATAATGTGGTGCCTCTCCTGCAGCAGAAGGGGGAAGACGAGGGTGAGGCTGGAAACTTGCGAGTGGGGAGCGGTGTGGAGAGGGACGCCTGTCAGGAACTGTGGCCTTTGGTAGAAAGATGCAACCAAACCATGGAAACTGAGCAGGGAAGTGGTGGGGAATGAATAGCTTGACCTCCTTTTCCTCCCATGCTCTTATCTCTAGCCAAGAAGGCAAAAAAGCCTGTTGGTCCAGTCCTTAGAGGTCAGTTTCCTGGGGCAAGAACAGCTTGGAAAAAGGTGGAGAGCAGATCTAGAAGGACAAGTAAGAGATAGGTAGCACAGTTACCAAAGACCTATTTCTGGGCTGTGGTCAGGGTCACAGGTTCTGTTGTAGATGAAGTGTTTCTTTCTCATCTGTGCTTCATAGAATGTTTTGGCTAGCTTGCTTATAACTTACAACCTACTAAGCACAATCATTAACATGATTGTCCTTTCTGCTATTTTGAGCTCCCTGAGACCAAGGAGCTGTGTCTTACTCATCTTTATGCCTACAGTACCTAAGTGTTTGGCCCATAGTAGGTGATTAACAAATGCTTGTGGAATTATAAATATATGAAGTCAATGGTAAATGACTACTGAAGTCCCAGAAATCAATTTGGTGATAGGGGCATAAACAAATGCATACTATTATGGTTGCCTCTAAAATGTTCTATGGCATGTGGGTTGATAGAAGATTCACTTACCATTGCTATAAATCTTATACTATGAAGATTTGATGTTCCTCTTTCATTTTCTACTTAAAAGTCATCAATTTCAGGTCATCCTACACATTCCATTCTACAAGCACTAAAATCTGTCAACACAGAAGGAACAGTAAATGCAGGTTGAAAGAGACAGCTCAGAACTACCAGTAATCAAATTGCAGTTGGCCGTCAACTAAGGTTGACGCCTTCTCATCGTCACGTGTGATTCTGGCTGCTAACAGGGAGTGGAGCATGCTTAGTCCATGGAAAAACTGTTTTCTTCTATCTTACTTTTTGACATTTTCAAAGCACTAAGTACGGGTAAATGTGGTCAGCTTGATTTATGATAATTGTTTCATACAGAATCACATGCTGAAGAATTGCAGGGACTGACAGTCTGGGGAAAAATATAAATGTCATAATTTTGTTAATTGTTTTAGCATGTGTTTCTTCCACATGTCTGAAAGCAACTGTAATTGAGGGTTGTGGTTTCTGGGGCCCAGCCAAAAATACAATGTGACTAACAACTGAGGAAAATATCATGGGATATCATGTGTTAGAGGATCTTTTATCTCCCCCACCCTGCTTAGCCAAAGTGAGTATTTTCCAGTATTTAAGTATGTTACTGGAGTATGAAAAGAAGAATGATAAAAACTAAATGCTTGGACTGGTATTTTTTATCCGATAAAAATAACATATAAAACACACTTTTCAATTCTGTGGCTATTTCATTCCATCCTGGAGTCCTCTATTTCAAACACTGGATTTGGGGGGGAAAAAAAACAACAACAGGTCTTTCCATTCTTTAAACATTTCGATGATGATAAGGGTTTTTCTCGAGCAAACAAATATCAGGAAATTCAAATACTGGTATGAAACCATAATCTCCCTTTACCTTGTTGCTCCAACACATAATAACTCTATTGAGAACTCCTGAAACCAGTGGGTGATCTGACCCAAAGGCTTCATATACGATTTCTTATTTTTATGACAGGAATTTTGTGATTTCAAGGCAAGGTTGAAAAACACCCTCTTTCCTCTCTTAAGCAAGTGATCAGGTTGCTGCCTGAACAAAGCAAAAGGCTGAGCTCACATGGCACTGCGAGGAGCTCTCTTGCAAGCTTCCTGGTTTGGGATGGACTGCAAATGCTATTAGTATATTTCCCAGGATTTAGGCTCCTGAGAACTGTGCAGTAACCGGATCTTTGAGCAGCAAGCATCTGGTAGCCAGAACCACACCAAGTCTTTCCCATATTATGCAGCAACTTCTGCTGGTTTGGTGGGTGTTCTCTCATTGTTTTATACTATTCCTTCTCTTTCTTTCCTCAGATGCCTGGGATCCACAAATATTTTTCTCACATTCAGAATTGACTGTCCTTGGGTGACTAAATTGATCATCCATGGGTCCAGAAGGTCATAGGAAGGTGCTGCTGATGTACATCCTCTCCATTTCCCCCAGTATATCCACCTCTCTTCCACCATCCCTGCGGACGAGCCCCACAGCTGCTAACTGCAAGCTGCAGGAACAAACGGAAAGTCTGTCCTGCCAGTGGCTGGAGGAAACTTTCCAAAGTGCTATTGGGAATAATGTCAGACAAGAAAATCAAATTGCAGGGAGCAGGGGAGGAAAGGAAAGCCAAGATAAGGGTTCTAGCTTCTTTAGTGAACTGGGTAAGGGCTGTGAACAGCCTGGAATGTTATGTAGATATCTGCATATATAATTCTATATACAATTATGATTATTACTATTATTTCTGAAAAGAGAGTCTAAAACTTACATTTAGATACTCAAAGGGTTTGGGTAACAAAAAAATTTAAAGAGTGATTACTGTGAAGAAAGTGGGTTTAGCTAACTTAAATTTTAAAAAATCAAGAGAGAAGGAGGAAGGAAGGACAGTAAGAAAAAATAAAGGTAGGACAAAGAAGAAAATAGGGACAATAGGAGAGAATAACACTTTACCCCTTTTATCAGCTACTTAAGACTTGGCCTCCTGAGATGGTCTGCAAGGATGCCAGTATAGCTAAATATCTATCTGATTTAGAGATGAGAGAATGAAGGCATACAGAGTTTAAACAATGTGTGCAAGGTAAAATGGCTAGTAAGTATCCACACTCAGCTGTGGGAGGCTGCTCTTAATCACTGTTCCAAACCAATACACTCTCTTTCTCTTTCCTCATGTGTTTTACAAAATATATTTTTTTGTAATGGAGGGTAAAATTACACACCAAAATGTTATTTCCGGATGTTGTGATTATGGGTGATTTAAAATTTTCTTCTCATCTACAATTTTATGTGTATTTGTAATAACCTTGTCTTTATTATGTAATAAAAAGAATAGTAATTTTAAATTATTTTCCCTTTTCTAGAAAACCAGTGATCAGATTGTTAAATCCCTCAGGAACAATTACATTTCTACTGAACTACGGATATCAAATAAAGGCCATGAGCAAGAAACTTGGAAGAACTTGGTATTGATTTATCATTGTCATTATATAGTGAAATGGTGACTTGTTCATAGTAACCAGTGAGATAGCTTGATAAAATCAGTGAATAAAACACAATCCTAACAAATGGTAATTTTAATGTAAAATCATAATATTTGTTCAATTAAATACCTTTTATTCTTCTAATGGATGCATTGTTCCCCACCATTACCACATTTCCTGGCTGTGTCCATGTAGATACAATGAAAGGGAGACCCAGGCCATT